CGGGGGGGGGGGTCTTTGGACTCCGGATCCCATCAGCCTTGCTCAGCAGGGCAAACGCTGAACTGTCCTGAGGAACGGAGGGTTAAAAGTTTTTTGCTGGCGGTGTGCACTTTTTATAGCCTTACTTTAAAAGGGAGGAGAATCTGCAGGCCATCAAACATGGCTGAGCCAGCACCCTTATTATCTTTTTTTACTCTTGCTTAGGCTGCCTGATGCGGTCCGAGGTTCGAGTCCAGCGCCATCTGGCAAGATGCCGCTTCTTCCCTAAAAAAATGCATCTTTACATGTAAAATTAAATATAAATATATAAGAATAGCCTCAGGGCATGGAGGGCTGTGATGTCTCCCGCCCACAAAGGGTAAACCTTTGGTCTAGAGATGGCTGGGATAGAAATCTAATAAATAAAATAAAATAAATAAAAGGCAACGGCTTCTAGACACCAGAGTCCATCTGACCTTAAAGCTAGAGGCCTGGCTGGGACCTGTATTTATTATTTAACTTTATTTAAAATATTGTTTACCCCATCTTTCTTCTTATATACTGTATATATAAAAAAAGCGCAAGGCGGCTGACATCGTTCAAAGGCCAGATTCAAGCCAACAGACGTGAGTGTACAAAATACTAAAAAAGGATCAAATAAATATGATACGAAAAAAGAGTAAGCAAAAGGAAAATGCATTTAAAGGAATAGAATAACTGAATTTAAAGCCCAACTCAGGCAGCCCGGTCCTGAAAGGGGAAAGCCTGCCGGAAGAGAAAAGCCTGGGCCTGCTTGTTAGAAGGACAGGAAAAATGGGGCTAGGCTGGCCTCCAGTGGCAGGGAGTTCCAGAGTCTCCGGGAGCGGGGCGCCGCCGAGGAGACCCACGTGAGAAGCTGCTCGGGCTCCCTCTAGCGGGTGTGATGCTTAGTGCTGGGGATTAGGATTCTGTGAGAACAATGATCAAGTCCTCACTTGGCCATAAAACTTACCAAGTGATCTTAGGCTAGTTTCATGTTCTCTTCATGGCTTCCCTCGGAGAATGGTTGTGTGAGAGTCATGTGCCAACTAGAGTTCGTAGAAGAAATGAAAGGCAGGGTAAAATGTAATAAATAAATAAGAATTGTGTAAATCCTATTTGCCTTAGAGCTTGATTCCACTGACAATAAAATCTGCTGTTTTCCTGAGTTCTCCTTAAAAAAAGATTTATATTTTTGCTTACATATAAGGTACATGCGCACATGAAGCGCTGTGCCAGGGGAGCACGTTTTTCTACTCCTCTGCCAGAAGTCTGTTTATTTGGGGGCAAATGTGAAATCGATTCATTGGAATAGATTCCACATATGTGAATGCCCCATCTGCTTTAAAAAACCCTGCAGGAGTTTAAAAAAACACCTCTCACTCGCTTGCCCTTTCACCAGCCCCCTTGCTCAGGCACCCCCTCATACACCCATCCCCACACCCTTGCCCCTTGCCCTCTCATCCTCCTCCTTTTCTGTTCTCCCCACTACTCCCTCTCATCCTGGCCAAATGGATGCAACCGATAGAAGACAAAGAGGGTGGTGGCAGTAGCAGTGGCAGCAGAGAGCTTGAAGAAGAGACAGCAGTGGTGAGGAAACACACCACCACCGAAGTTTTGGATTCAAGCTAAAGTCCATGTGACTATTCCAAATTCCAACAACAAGAAGACCTTTTGTCAGTTAATTCCAGCAGCAGGAGCAGGCCCTTAGCTTCACAAGCTCCATAGCTGGTTGAGGCCTCTGATACGTTGCTTTCCTGAGCTTCAAAAGAGTAACTTTTCCAAGTGCTGCTGCTGTCACCTAAGGAGAACATGGAACAGGTTGGTTAGTAGTATAATGCATGCACACAGCAACACTGGCACCCAAATTGCTTTCTTCCAATTTGGGGTGGAGGTGCAGGATGAGTTCCAATATATTTCTTGCAAGTAGTTAAGAGAATCAGTATGTCTGAAATCCACATACTGCCGTGATCCAAGGTGCTTCCCATGGGCAAAACATTTTAGTGCCTTTCTCTATCCCCTTGGCCCCAGAGTGTTCATGATGTGAGGCATCATACCTGTTAGTACACCTGCTTTACATGCAGATTTTAGGTTCATGCTCTGACATCTGGAAGGAAGGAAGGAAGGAAGGAAACCAACAAGAGATAGTAGAGAAAAGTCCATATCTAACATTCTCTGTCTCTCTCTCTCTCTTTCTGATGTACTTCCCAGGCTTTGCCATGGGTTCGAGGGGAGGAGAGAGCTGGCCGGACACCATCGCCGCCTTCCGGTCAGGTCCCACCGCGTTCCTCTTATCTCACGGCGCCAATGACACCTTTGTGGCCGAACTGCTGCGGGATCTCCGGAGCGAAAGATTAACGGAGCAGCTCAAGGTAACGTTTGTTCCTTCGATCCTTAAGAAAAAGTGCGTTATGTGGAATCGTTAAAGGGACCCCGAAGAAGGGTCTCCGCCGATGTCTGGATGCCCAGCTGGTCCTTCATCCGCTGTGCTTTGGCGCACCATGATGGAATAGTTGTTGTGGGTTTTTCGGGTTGTTCGGCCGTGTCCTTGAGGTTTTTCTTCCTGACGTTTCGCCCGTCTCTGTGGCCGGCCCCTACGGAGGACAGGAGTCAGGACTCCCACAGACTGCCCCAGAGCACAGACAGAGTGTTTCACGGTCAGGATCCGATGGTGGTTATGGGTTTTTCGGGCTCTTTGGCCATGTTGTGAACATTGTTCTTCCTGACATTTTGCCTGTCTCTGTGGCCGGCCTCCTCCGAGGACAGGAGTCAGAACTCTGTCTGTGTTCTGGTGTAGTGTGTGTGGATAGTTGAGTATTTGTAGCTGTGGGATCAGCTTTTGTCCTTTTCAGGAGATTGGGTGATTATGGTGATCAGGGTGTTTTTTGTTATGGGTGTATTGTTCTGATAAGAGGGGGGGAGAGTTACCTCCTGTTCTGTTATTCCTTCCCGTTCCATAGCTTTGAACATATATATCGAAAATGGCAGGGTACCCAATGCATTGTAGTGGAGAGAGTACCAGAGTAAGATTCAAGAGGCCTGGGTTCGAATCCCCGCTCAGACATGGAAATTCACTGGCAGTCTGGGACTGGTAAAGACACCCCATTAAATACCCTTGTTACCTTGATAAACCCTGTTAGGGTTGTCGTAAGTCCGTTCTGACTTGATGGCCCGTCACACACACTCCAGATTTAGAAGGGAGTAGACAGGAAGAGTTGAAACTCTGAACGGGGCCCCTGCCTGCTGTTCTTGCTGCCAATCCCAGATATGAAATCTCGACCCTTTGGGCTAAAGAGATCTCCGATCATTTGAGGGAGAAGAGAATCTTCCCACGGAGAATGTCTTGGAAATCCGGCTTCGCCGTGGCCCGCCATATCGTGGTTTCCCCCTTTTTCCTGGCTGGTTTCTTCCTGACGGATTTGGTCTCTCCTTGCAGGTCTCGCTGCTGATGCTCCTCTTGGATTACCCCACGCTGCTGTGCCGAGATGTGAAGGCGGGCCAAGAGGCGGCCGCCTCCCTCCTCTCCCTCTTCACCCAGCTGGGCCCCGGGTCCAAGCACGCCTCTCTGCGGCGCCACCTCCTCTTCGCCACGGGGACGGTGCTGGTGGCCACGGACGCCTTCGGGCCATCTTGCCAGGCCTCCGGCGACTACCTGGCTCTGTTGCGCCAGCTGGCTTCGGACCTCAACGACGGGCGCGGGGGCGCCGCGGAGTGGCCCGTCCGGGCGGCCGCCTGCGAGTGCCTGCGGGAGGCGGAG